CCCTCCTCCTCCCTCCACACCTCCTCCTCCCCCCTCCACTTCCATCCCTTCCTCCTCCTCGCTCCTCCTCTCCCCTCATTCCCTCCTTACTCCTCCCCTCTTCCTCTCTCCTCCCTCCTCCTCACCAGCAGAGAAGGAAACCACCCGGTCCCTGTTAATGAGGTTCCCCTTGTCGTCCAGGAAGCGTTCGGGTTTGAACTTGTCTGGCTCAGGAAACTGGGTGGGGTCCCTATTCATGTGGAAAATGGTCCCGATGATGACTGTGTCTTTTGGGATATGGTAGCCCCTGATAGATGTGTCTCTCGCCGCACAGTGGGGCACAGTGAAGGGAGCTGAAATGATACATAGGACGACCGTAAGTCACCACTAACTACACTACACACCTGGCTAACGACATAGTAATGTTACTTGGGATGATCATAAGTCACTGTGAACTATACACCAGGGTAACAACGTGACAATGTTACACAACACAACCGTATGTGACTGCTAACTACACATCAGGCTTACGACATGGCAATATCCATCACCACTACCACAACCATCATCACCACAGTCATTACTATCAGAGATAGTATCACTACCATCACCACCACCATCACCATCACGATCTCCATCACCACTATCAGTTATAGTGCGGTATCATTGCCACCTACCACAACCACTATTGTCATCATCATCATCATCATCATCATCATCATCATCATCATCATCATCATCATCATCATCATCATCACCACTACAACTATCACAACCACTTTAACCACCACCACCACAACCACTACAACTATCACAACCACCATAACCACCACCACCACAACCACTACAATCATCACTACCCCTAACACTACCACCAACACTACTACCTACCACCTTCACCACCACCACCACAGCTCAGCAAACCAACACACACACACACCAACAACACTGCCTCCACAAATTATCAAACTGACCTACACAACCACCACAACGTAGCAAAGGTACACACACCAACAACCACATGGTCACTCACCAATGATGCCCATCCTCAACACCTCCAAGATGGTAGCCTCGATGTACTTCAGCTGTGCCTTGTCAGCGATGGTTACCTGGCGACTTCTGCCGACAACCTGAGAGTAGCAGACGCCACCAATATAAGTCATGCCGACCTCAGACAAGACGAAATGATGAATCACATAGACAGTAATGCTGAGTAAGACAAAATCAAACACTTGATGAATCAAATAGACAGTAATGCTGAGTAAGACAAAATCAAACACTTGATGAATCACATAGACAGTAATGCTGAGTAAGACAAAATAAAACACTTGATGAATCACATAGACAGTAATGCTGAGTAAGACAAAATAAAACACTTGATGAATCACATAGACAGTAATGCTGAGTAAGACAAAAT